AGTGAAATAACCCCAGAGGTGAAAAAATAAAAATTATCCATGCTTGGAACGGGACGTCCTAATTCTGTCAGTCATCCCGATGACTATTTCTGTGGAATATAGGAGGGAAACCAGCGTGTCTCCCAGGAAAACTGCCCTTTCAGTCCAGGGCCTCAGGGAAGATCTTTGATGCATTCTTCTTCCTTGTTGTGCCCTCTCTTCATTACACATAGCCTTTCATGAAGCTTACAAGAAGGGACATGAGCACAGGCGCCCAGTTCGCAACAACCTGGGTGAGTAACCCTGGGCAGGGCAGCCGGGAGGGGACTCCGGGAGGGGCAGGAGGATGAGAATGATCCCACGATTCAGAGCCAACTTGCAGCTCTCCCAGAGTCCTTGACCATTGTTTTGTGAACTTAAGAAGAGGTGCCGATCTGTCCCTCACTCTTCCGCCTTTTGCTTGTAATGTCACCAACGCACACAGTTCCATCTGACTCACTGCCATGTTTCTGTAACCTTGGGCAATCATGTCACCTTTAAGGACTTTTGTTTGTTTACAAAGGGAGGATAATAGTCATGACCGCCTGCTCGCTGGAGCGCACGTTAGTGACAGGTGTGGCAAAGCTGAGTGTCAGTGCCGGATTTGGTGGCAGCTGGACAAGAGAACTCAGAGGTGCTTGCCTCCAATTTTCCAGCTGAGTGGGCTTCTTCTCCAGAAAATATCGATGCCCACCCTCTCCAATCTTATAACAACCTTGGACTTTCGTTCCTGAGATCTTTGTAGCGGTTTCTCACTCCTCCCAGTTCACACGCCTGAGAGGTAGGGAAAGTGGCTCAAGAGAAATAAAAACCGTATGTGTATTTTCTTTTTAATTTTTTAAAAATGTTTATTTTTGAGAGAGATAGAGAGAGCATGAGCACGGAAGGCGCAGAGAGAGACACACACACAGAATCCAAAGCAGGCTCCAGGCTCTGAACTGTCAGCACAGAGCCCAATGCAGGGCTCAAACTCACAAACTGTGAGATTGTGACCTGAGCCAAAGTCGGACGCTCAACCGACTGAGCCATTGAGGTGCCCCTTTTTTTTTTATTTTTTTTTTTTTTTTTTTTTTTACTGTTTATTTACTTTTGACGGAGAGGGAGAGACAGAGCATGAGTGGAGGAGGGGCAGAGAGAGGGGGAGACACAGAATCGGAAGCAGGCTCCAGGCTCTGAGCTGTCAGCACAGAGCCTGATGCGGGGCTCGAACTCACGAGCTGTGAGATCATGACCTGAGCTGAAGTCGGACGCTCAACCCACTGAGCCACCCAGGCGCCCCCCAATGTATTTTCTTTTGAAAAGAACTGTCGATCTTAACTTTTCTAGTTTTTCCTAGAAGATGGAATATTACAACTAGAGGAGACCATAAAAAAGAATACATGCCGACCTCCTTATCTCCATTAAAAAAAAAAAAGAAAAAAGAAGAAAGATAATTGAGGCCAAGAGAGCTGAAGTGATCTGCTCAGTGTGGCACCGTCAGCTGCAGCAGTAACAGAATCAGACAAAACCAGTCTCCTATCTGCTGTGCTCTTCTGTTACTGACCGTCCAGAGAGCAAGGTACCTTCAACGCACCGTTCCCTCCACACCATAGGTTGATACTTCTCGTCCTTTCTTTAGCCATCCCTGGCAATGACAAAGTCTTTTTCTTTTTTTAAAATCACTCTCTCTACAGGGGCACCTGGGTGGCTCAGTGGGTTAAGCGTCCAACTCTTTATTTATCATGACACTCAGGTCTTGATCTCACAGTTCTTGAGTTCGGGCTCTGCATTGACAGCGTGGAGCCTGCTTGGGATTCTCTCTCTCCTTCTTTCTGTCTGCTTCTCCCCCACTCTCTCACACTCTCTTAAAATAAATAAATTTAAAAAAAAAGATAAATCACTTTCTCTACAAAATCTCCAGTCATCTACCAATTTATTACCATCACTGAATATTTATTGAGAACTCGTAATCTTCAGACTACTGTACAAATAATTAAAAGTACACACACACACACACACACACACACACACAGACCCAAACAGGGGACTCTAAGGAGGCTGTGGTTTGGCTCACTTGATAAATGAAAAACCTTCAAGATTATTTAATCTTGTCTCGAAAATAGTGCCTAATATGTTTCTCGGAAACAGTGACTCTAGTAGAACTGAGGATGACCCATTGATGACCCATCAATGAACGTTTGTGGTTATTCACAGGGAAGATGCAGAGAGTAAAGAATCAAAACTGAGTCACCACCAAGAAGTTCAAAACCCACAGAGCAAAATACTGGTGGAGTCAGGACCAGAATGCCTCTGTTGGGCTATGTTTTATGTTCTATTGTTTGGACTACGAGTTACCAAAACAGCTACATTCTATAATAATACCTCTTATCGAGGGCTTTTCCATCTTGCAGAGAGAAACAAAATGAGATGAATTTTTGAAGTGAACAGTCAGATTTCGGGAAGTCTAGCCATTGGTTCTTCCCTATACTCAGGATTCCGGTCCAGGAAATAAAGCTAAATTTTGTGGAATACATATACTTGAACTTGAGGGCAAATCTTTTCAGGATTGAAGGATGGACCTTCTTCGGGTCATAGAGAACCTACCATCTGTTCCTTCACTGCAACATCCTTGCTTGGCCTCTGTGTGGTCTCTGGGGTTTTTTTGTTTGTTTGTTTGCTTGTTTTTGTTTTTGTTTTGCAACTTGTTCACTTACTAACCACAAGCTTCCAGCTGCTTATACTGTGAAATCTAATGAGATTACAATAAAGCAGGCCCCATGCACAGCCGTCATTATGCAGAAAGACACAAGAGCCTCAGCTAAACACACCATAAAGGGTTTATCTTAAGATATGAATCCTTGAAAACATCAGCTCAGCGATGACAAAAAGTTCTGCGTACAGTTCTCCGCAGGAAATATTTTTGATATTGTTTTGACTTTAGGAAAAGAAAAACAACTAGACTTTGTGGGGGTTACCTAAGTGCACAGTGAAACTGCAAATTCAGACTGAATCCTGTCCTCCAAATACAGAATTCTTATGTGGAAACAATCTCATTTTCATTTTGCTTTCTGGGAAACCCTCCAAGGCACCGTGAACTGCCAGCTTTTTGTGACCTTCAGTTTCCTAACTGCTCCCAAGGGAAACTTGACCTTGGAACTGTGGAGAGGAGGGGAACAAGTTGGCGTGGAGCAGGGCAGAGGTTTCATTCTCTCTGTTTGCTCATTTCCCAGAGCATATGGGTTCTCCTGCACCCTTAGAGCCTCTGAGGGCAAGGAGATGGGGACAAAAAGTGCAATGCAAATGCACATTAACCCCAATGCAAGGACACATACAAGACTGTCACATGGGATGGAAACTCAGATGGCCAGCTGGGAGCAGTTCCCAGTGAAGCATTAGGAATAAGAAAACATTCGGCCACCTGCAGATGCACAACTGATACAGGGCTCCCTGACTCCTCAGAGCATCGTAGGACCGAAATGAAGTTCATAAGGCACAAGAAAGCTTCCTGTAACGTTAGCTGGCTTCCATAGGTATCGGGGACACACCCATGACAGATTCCCGATCTGAAGAAGGACTTTCTTGGGTTTCCTATCATTTGGCAACTTCTTGACTCACAAGATACCATCTGGTCATAGAGTTAACCAAGAGAGGAACTGTGTATATCAAGAGACGCTATGGGGGCCCTGTAGCCCCTACCTACATATACTGTCCTATAGGCATATAGCCAATGAGAGGAGAGTGGTTTCTTAGCTTTTTCCCAGCAAGAATTCCTTCCATCTCTTTCTTTGCTTATGGGCACATGGGTTGAACAAATTTGCCTTTAAGGAGGCAGATTTTATTAAGTATCAAGTAGTATCTTCATTTCCATTACTCAATGAAAATCTAATTAGAGTAACATTGCCACACTGACCTGATAGAATCTCCGCCCAAAGCAAAGCGATCAACATTTGAGTAGGTCTCTGAAGCCTGAGAACAGGCTATGTAGTCAGTTGGCATTTTTAATTTCTGAAAATAGCTTGTATTGTCCCATCCCCACCATTTGTAAGCCTGAAGGATCCAGGGAACTGCTTGTTTGTTAGAAAAAAAAGAGAGCAAAGAATTTGGAGTCCTAAGCCTATAGGACTTGTTAGCAGAGTGATTCTGAGACAGCACTCACCTTTATGGAGTCTTAGGTTCCTTATCTGAAAGGATGTCGTTTTACCATGACACCCTTCTTACAGGGTTATGATGAGATTAAGTAAAACCAGACTAGGAACTTTCGACATATTCAGCTTTCCCAAAGAGAGAAATTTGCAGAAATAAAAAATCTGGGTACAATAAGTGAAAAAATTTGTCTCTGTGTTACATTTAAATCAAACAAATAAACAAAACAATGTTCACAAACCAGGAGATAGGACAATTTTCTTTTTCACAGTTTCAGAAAGGGATGGAAAAACTGATGTAAGGGCAATTGTGTGTGTGTGTGTGTGTGTGTGTGTGTGTGTGTGTGTTTTCTTGTTACTTTCCTGGAGGAGAGGAAAACCACTGTGATGTTGAGTGTTATGCCTGTATGGGATCAAGAATGCCTGGCTGAGGGAGTCATAAATATGTGCCCTGAGGATCCAAGCTAATAATTTACAAAGGACTCGTACTCTTTTACCCTTAGAATACAAATAGTATAGACACTGCTGAGTATTTTTCCCAAAACAGAGTGCCAAAGAACATGGGTTTTGGCCAGGCAGACCCCAACTCAAATTTCACCTCATCTTACTACCTGTCCAATATACGAGAACTGAGCAAATTGCGTAAGTTTCTTATAAGGATTAGATTTTTTAAAAGGTAGATAAAAAGGCAGGAGTTCATTTCCTGCACGTCATAGGCACTGGTTAAAGGTGAAATGTTGTTATGCGTCCTCATATTTCAGCTTCAACTTTTCCTCTTTATCCTAATGTTTTAGTTAGCAAAAATGATAGCATGTGAATGCAATTCTTGTGGGGTCAGCTGCATCAGGAAAGGGTACTTACTCAGCGGCCTTGGCAATGAGATCTCTATTTGTAATGCCTTTGCTATCACACGCTTAAGTATGAGGTGGGTCTGGAAAGAGAAGAAATTCTTTGTTCAAAGATATTCAGCCAACCACATTTCACCATGGCACTTCTTTATCTTGATCTTGTAAATGCTCAGGAATTGTGGCTGCTTTGGAATTTCTGCCAGACAGCTAATGGAAGTTTTAGGATGTATCCAAACAAAAGCAAAATGGAGGTTGGGAGAAAAGGGAGATTTGTTGCTGTGCCTTACTGGTTCACTGCTTGAATGACAGCTGTAAGCCATTTGGACTCCAAGCCGACATGGGCCTCTTTGGGCTGCAGATACTGGGAACCTCGATATGATAGATTGTTGAAGGTTCCTCTTGCTTTAAGCCTCTTTCTGCCCAAATCCCTTGGATTTAGATGAGTAGAGATTAGCTAAGGTGAAGTGAAATTGTAATTATTAATTTTAGTTCCCAGAGAAGGACTGGAATGGTGTCATTTGTTTCCCTGGAAATAGTTCAAATGTTGTACTTAAGTTGGGGCTCATGTGTTTGAGTCTCTGGAATAGAAAGGGGGAGAGATCTAGCCTGAAAATTCCCTCGGTTTACTTAAGAAATATCCAGGGCTGGGGGCACCTGGGTGGCTCAGTCGGTTGGGCGGCCGACTTCGGCTCATGTCACGATCTCACGGTCCATGAGTTGAGCCCTGCGTCGGGCTCTGTGCTGACAGTTCAGAGCCTGGAGCCTCTTTAGTTTCTGTGTCTCTCCCTCGCTCTCTGCTCCTCCCCCACTCGCACTCTGTCTCTGTCTCTCCCTCTCAAAAATAAATAAACATTAAAAGAAAGAAAGAAAGAATGAAAGAAAGGAAAAAAAAAAAAAAAGAAATATCCGGGACTGGAAAGACTGCAGTGACTGTCACTCCTGGGACTGGGAACACTTCCCTCTGCTCCCAGCCCGTTCTCTTTACTTGCTCTTGCAGAAGGTCTAGTCTAGTCCATGCTGCCATTTTGGTAATAGTGGTACCCAGCTGGCCTCGGGCATGGCACATCCAAGGGCCAGTGGAAAACCTCTGACTTTGTTAGTCAGCCTTGCTTTCCTAGGTGACTGCCCTCTCAACACCCACACACCCACAATTTATGTTCCTGCATGTGCTTAACTCTATGACTGCCTTGGAAAAGCATTGGATAGGGAATGAGGCAGGATTTGGTAGAATCCTGGCTCAGCTTATGACTGAGTAAACATGGGCAAATTAATTAACTTCTGGGTTCAGGGCACCTGGGTGGCTCAGTCGGATGAGCGTCTGACCTCAGCCCAGGTCATGATATCACAGTTTGTGGGTTCGGGCCCCATGTCAGGCTAACTGCCCACTTTGGATGCTCTGTCCCCCTCTCTTCTGCCCCTCTCCCACATATTCTCTCTCTCTCTCTCTCTCTCTCTCTCTCTCAAAAATAAATAAACATTGAATTAACTTCTGAGTTCTCATTTCCTGACTTGTAAAAGGACTAGTACTGTCTATCTAGTTTAGTCAATCCCGAGAATAACCTCCCCCTACCTAATATCCAATATGCATGAAATGGGAAGAAAAGCTGGATATATTCTCAAGGGCCACCAGTGTTTTGGCCTATTCCAGATGCTGCAAAGAAAGGACAGATAAGACCTATCTGTTTCTAAGGCAGCCTAAGGGATTATGGGTAAATCTGGCCAATGCATTGGAATGCTCTGGCACACTTTCCCCAGTTCCAAACCACCTCCATCACATGCATTATCTACAAACATTCTCTGGAAACCAGCCAGACACACACTTAACATTTTACAGAGTTAATATCTTCACAGAAATGTATCAGTTACCATAATTCTTCACCACATTCCTGGGAGTTAGCCACAGACTCAGCCCAAATCACACATGGGATTTGTGTCCAGGCCACCCTCTTGCAGTGGCTTACACTCCTGCATCTAGTTAACTTCCCGAGCCACATAAAAATTCCGGCCACAAACCGCACCAAAGGGGATTCACTTCAGTTCCATAAATGATTGACAAAAATACTGTCAAACATTACCTTGTTGAATAAATTGCCCGATCCCTCTCCTAAAGGGAGTTCAGAAAAATAGGGCTTCTCTTTCACCATACTTCTAAAAGTGGAAGAGCTAGGAACCATTGCACAGACCTGTCAAGTATATGGGTAACAATATGACAACATTTCTGGAGGGGTTGTATTCAGATCTAAATGTTTATTTAAAATAACATATTTTTGGAATGTGTAGACTTGAAAGAAAAATTACATGTTTTTTGGTGATTACTTAATAATCTTATCCCCCCTCAAGAATCACTCGCTAACTTGTTCTTTACTCAATTTTTTCTCTCTAGACCTCCAGAAGTAAGGGAAGCTTCTTCAAAATCACAAGCTCTTATGCCTGAGGTGACATCAGCTATTCAGTTTGTTCATGAGTCTCGTTCGTGTTCATTTATTGTTGAGCTAGGAAGGAGCCCGTGGCATTTACTACTCTGTGTAGGATAAAAATGTCTCTGGTCAGCTATCACTGCAGAGAACAGTTATCTTCTACATTGCCTTGTGTCTCTTCTATAGAGATAGGCATGGGCTTTAGCGGTCTTCTGTCAAAGTTAGGAAACAGCCTTTCGTCAGTAAATGATTGACCTGGCCAGCCTGGGTGATAAGCTTAGGTAAACAGACTTGATTCTGCTCCAGCAATTTGAAGACTTTTAACTCCTTAGGTTCCAGAGCCGAATAATGCACATGGCTTTCTGGGAAATCCTATCGCTCGAGTTTGAAAGCTTTTTGCATAGACAGTGTGTTCCTCAGATTTATAATGCAAACTGTCCTGGTATATCTTGAAAGTGGAAAGAACTTATGCCAGCAAAATCTGGAACAAAACCATGTTTGAAGAGTCATAACTAATGGAAGAATTTCATGAAATCACAAATACAATTTTTATGACGAAAGATAGAAAACTTTCTAAACCTTTGAAATATGTAGAGGAAACACAACAATTTTCAAAAGGGAAAGAAGATGGAAGAAAAATACAAACCACTTTGCAGAACACGTTGGTGGACGAATGATTGAATTCTCTCAACATGCACCCACAACTAACACATCTCCTTCAGTAGACCATCATCAGAGACTCTCTGGCTACAAGGCTGGGCAAAATGCCTGTTTTGTGATCTTGAGAGAAAGGCCCATGACCAGACAGATCGCCTACCTTGATTGCTGCTTTTGGAATCTGGACTCTTCTCTCAACTTCCTTCCTGACTCAGCAGTGGCGTCCCACGACTGTTCCAATCCTGGCCCAAGAGTTTGGGACGATGGTAAGAAGCATCAACACAGGATTTCACTTTTTCTCAAGCACAAAATCAAGGTGTTCCCCTCCATTTCCTTTCCCGCTTTCACTGGCCCCTGCGGACAGTGGTCACGAGCTGCAACTTGCTTGCAAGCAGGTATGTTGACAGATGTGAAGGAGGGAACCTGTGCTGGTTTCAGCTGCCTGGTCTGGCCAATCATTACAGACCATTCCAGGCTCTCAGTCCTGCTCAAGCCCAACCAGCGATCTGGATGACAGAATCAGATAGCAGCACTGCAGGGGAAGAAAGCAGATTTGTTAGCTATTGACTATCCAGAAAAGCAGTGACCTTTCAACAGGATCTGTGAAGTAGACAGGTATATATGGGAGAAAAATACATTTTATTTCACTTCTTTTTCCTGTAGCAATCTCAGAATGCAATTTCAAGGTCATTTTAACAAATCTCTCATTTAATAGAATTTCTTCTATTGAATTTCTGTCTGGTGAGAATCATCTGGAAATTCCTTGAACAAATATGGCTGCCACTTACTTGAACCTTGAAATTTTATTCCTATTTTATAGATGAGGGAACAGAAGTTCAAAGGGGTAATAGTCATGCAAGGAGTAGGTGCTTAAATCAGGATTCGAACTCACTATTCTAAAACCAGTACCAATGTCCAATGTCCATACACTTTCCATAGTACTCTGTGGTAGACTGAAGAGGCCCCAAAGATGTCTATGTCTGAATTCTTAGAACCTGTGAATATGTCACCTTTCGTGGTAAAAGGGACTCTGCAGATGGATCAAGTTAAGAATTTGGAGATGGAGATTGATTATCTTGGGTTGTCCATGTGGGCCCAGTATATCACAGGGGGCCTTAGAAGATGCTAGGATCAAAGGACACGTGGTGACAGGAGTGGAGTCAGAGAGAGATTGAAGATGCCACGCTACTGGCTTTGAAGAAGTCAGGAAGGGCCCCTGGCCAAAGAAGGTGGCTTTTAGAAGCTGAAAAGGCAAGGAAATGAGCTTTCCTCTAGAACCTCCAGAAAGAACACTGCCCTGCTGGCCCATTTTAGACTTCTGACTGTAGACTTGAAAGGTAATACATTTGTATTGTGTTGCTGTAAGCCACTGAGCTTGTGATAACTTATAGCAGCAATGGAAAACTGGGAGAACCAGAAATATTCTGCCTGATGGTGAGCTCTACCTTCTCGAAACGACAACTCATGGGTCTAGTTCCTCTTTGAACATCAGGCATTCAGGGGGGCAGTTGCAAATGATGGGGAAGGACCCTGGGAGGAGACTCAGAGACCAGTTCCAGCACTGCCTTAGACCAGTCATTTATCTCTGGCTTTTAGTTTTCTCTCTTGTAATATTAGCACCTGGACAAATGTTCTTTGGTCCCTTCTACGTCTAAATTCCTAAGATTCTCGGTTAAGCGTCCAACTGTGGCTCAGGTCATGATCTCATGGTTCGTGGTTTTGAGCCCCACATCAGGCTCTGTGCTGACAGCGTGGAGCCTGGAGCCTGTTTCAGGTCCTGTGTTTCCCTCTTTCTCTCTGTCTCTCCCTCACTTGTGTTCTCTTTCTCTCTCTCTCAAAAATAGGTAAACTTAAAAAAATTAAAAAAAATTAAATTCATAAGATTCTAATATCTCAGTCATACAACAATTCAAAAATAATTGAAGATATCCCCATCATGTTTCTCTTGGTGTTTTTTAGTTTATATTTTGTAATTTTGTTTATTTATTATGAGAGAGCAAGGGAGGCTCAGAGAGGTAGAGAGAATGAATCCCAAGTGTGGGGCTGGAACTCTCGAATTGTGAGATTATCACCTGAGCTGACATCAAGAGTCAGATGCTTAACCGATTGAGCCACCCAGGCTCCCCTTTCTCAGTCTTTTCTAAACACAACATCCCCAGTTCTCATGTGACACCACTTCTAGACCCTTCACCCTCCTAGCTGCCTTTCTCTGAAAAGGCTCCAATCTGTCCACCTCCTTCTGAAATGTGTTGTTTGGACTCGTGTGGGATACCCAGCCATGCCTCCATATTTGCTCCTGTGCCTGGTTTCTTCCATCTCCCACTGCCCTCTCTTGCTAGAGCCCATCTGACTCCAATTCTTTAGGGTCTTTTGGACTTGCTTAGTCTGTTCCTTTTTATCTTCTTTTATCCAACCTTACCTCTTGAAAGAGAGCATCCATAATCAACCAATTCATATGAGTCTTAATTTAGTTCATTTTTTAAATAGGAAAGACCAAAATCTTCTAGAGCTAGCCTATGTCAGCCATCTTTGCTTGCTTAACAACTTTGAAATGATAGTTAATTCTCACAAATATTTGAAAGACAGCGGTATGTAAATTTCTTAGAATCAGATTCCTTTGAGAGTCTGATGAGAGCTATGGATTCTCTATTAGAAAGGTGTGCTCATAGTTCATAGTTTCAAATTATTTTTTACTTTTTTGAGAAAGAGAGAGAGAAGAGGCGGAAGAGGGGCAGGGGTGCGTGGGGAGAGAGAACGAGATAGAGATGAGAGAGAGAGAGAGAGAGAGAGAGAGAGAGAGAGAATCCCAAGCAGGCTCCATGCCCTGCGTGGAACCCAATGTGGGGCCCAATCCCATGACTGTGAGATCATGACCTCAGCTGAAATCAAGAGTAGGACACTCAACTGACTGAACCACCCAGGCGCTCCAGTTCCAAAATTTTGTGTGTCATGTCAGGGCATTCTGGCACCAATGAAATAGACCACTGAACCCTGTGATGTGTGGCAGGTTAGTTCTAAACCTGCAAGGCTGTTGGGGAAGGGGGGAGCTTTTGCAAAAGGCAGTCTAATGTCTTCCGCCAGATCCATTTATACTTCATGGAGGCCTACAAATGAGACTCCTGGGCCCAGATTGAGCAAACACCCATTAAGCGTCAAAGCAGGAAAGTCTTTAGGCCACAAAGCAGAGAGGTTAAACAAAGAATAGTTTTCAGTGGCCTTCTTTTGCAGTCAGAGCTCTGCTTCTTAGGGCCTTTCTCCACGGGATAAGTCCCATTCTTTAGACACCAGGCCCCTTAGATTAAAGCCATCTGCTTGCCTAAGGCTTCTCTCAGTTGCATGATGCTACTGGACAGAGGCTGACAATTCTGTGTCCCCTTTCCCCACCCATGCTTTCCAAAAACACTGCCCAGCTGTGCAAACACCCTGGTCTGACTAGCACTTTTGTTTAACTGGCACTTGCCCAGGCCATCCGGGGTGAGGTTTGAGGCACATGGGCTTTGGACACTGTTCCTCCCTTGCAACCTTCTACCCTCTCTGAGAAAGAAAGGTTTCAAGTCTTAAAGATAATAACAATCCTTCAGTCACAGTGAGGAGATTTGCAAAGGGATAAACAAAAAAACATACTGCTGATCAAGAATTCCTTTGGGGAGAAAAAAAAAAAACCAACAACAAAAATCCAGAGCATTCAGGCATTCTAACCTCATGGATTCACAGAAGAGGACTCACTTTCCAAGTCAAAGAAGCAGGGTCTGGTCTCTGCATCGCACGTATCTCCAGTGCAGCCATCTGTAGGACTAAGTGACTCGGGCACCTTTCTCCTGCCACACTGGATGGCACGGAGAGAGGGCATGGACTGGGCACAGACTTCTACAGGAGACATTGAGAGTCTCCTTATGAAAGAAGAGGTGGTTTTCTAGCTCAAATAGCAGTCTGTTTATATACTTATTTACTTAGTTAAGGATGTTTGAAAAGAGCATGGCCAAACCCAATTCTTGACAAAAGTGTGCAGTGGAATCAACTATGGTGGTTTTCAGCCTGGAAAGGATCATAAACAAAGGCCATTCCCATAGCTTCACAGTGGAATTTTTTTAAAAACTTAAGGAAATTTTATATCACTGTTGAAAAACCCAGTATCACTTGCCATAGAGAGAAGGTAACCATAAAAGAAAGAAAATGCACACAAAATTATATTAAATGTTAGCTGGATATTACTGGCCTTTTTGGGGTTGTTGTTTTTGCTAGAAAAACAAGGGTTAGAGAGTTTTCGTCACTAAGCTGAGACTTTCCTCTCCACTAATCAGGATTATTAAGTGATTGATGATATAAATTCTATTCAAAGCTATGGCCATCGTCCCCCTCACATCATCTGGCACACCACCAGTGGTCAGAACCCTACTCACTCTCAGAGCAGTGCACAGATAGTCCAGTGATTGTGCAACTTTCTCTTTCACTCTCTGAATTTATCTGCTTTCCTTCTTATTAATTAGCTCCTGCTAAGTCATTAGCAATAAACACAAGAGTTAGTAGTCAACCATGTTGAAGGGATTGTGCCAGGTACTCTTTGGAGGGGGTGGGTGCAAAGTCACCACCCCCAATACTAAGACTAACTACTCTTGAGAGTTTACTGTGTGCCAGGCTCTGTGCTGAAATGTTTTCTGTATAGTGTCTTATGTAGACTTCTCAAAAACCCATCAGAGCAGGTATTAGTAGTCCTATATCCTGTATATTTAGAGATGTTAGTTTTGTTTAGAGTTATACAGTCGGGATGTGATACAGCCGGGATAGAAATACAGGGCTATGCATCTCTGAAATGCCTGTTGCCCCAGCTCCTGTACTCAATAGAATGTTCGTAGGCTAGTTGTAATATGAAAAATTAATTTGTACATAATATACGTGCTCCATTTTCACAGAGGCAATGTTTCAACCCAAGTGTGTGTTCAGAAATTGAGGCAGTAGTCTTTGCAAATACACCATGTGGATGTTGGGACTCAGACCTATCTCCATCATGCCATTTTCTACTAAAAGCCAATGGGGATGACTGAAAGTGGTGCTTATGAAAGCCCATCAGAAGACCATATGGTAGGGGTGCCTGGGTGGCTCAGTCGGTTAAGCATCCGACTTCGGCTCAGGTCATGATCTCACGGTCCGTGAGTTCGAGCCCCATGTCAGGCTCTGTGCTGACAGCTCAGAGCCTGGAGCCTGCTTCGGATTGTGTCTCCCTCTCTCTCTGACCCTCCCCCATTCATGCTCTGTCTCTCTCTGTCTCAAAAATAAATAAACATTAAAAAAAAATTTAAAAAAAAGACCATATGGTAGATTTACTAACCATGACTAAAAGTACAGGTGAAAAATCTATGATGTGTTCTTCGACTGTTATGTTAACTTGAACAGAAATAGAATCGTCCCTAATTTGCTGCTGTAACATTCAACTATGTGAAATGAATGATTACTTAGCATTAACTTCATCTCTGCTAAATTCATACACAGGTGTTTCACCAGAGCCCGTTATTTTTGCAGGGCATAGGGCAAAAAGAGAAA